ACTTCAGAGTGGAATAAATGCACATGGAGAAAGAAAGGTCTTATGTTTGGATCTTCCATTCAATCAATCTGTTCAACGCTTACTTTCCTCTTTTGGTGATCTCTCACTCTTCATTGGAGTGTCCATCATTGATCCCAGAGAAAAATGTCTTCCCAGAGTTATTGTCAGTTTGCTTTTCTTCTACTCCATCTCCTTAGTAGCAGCGATTTAAGACTTGTCATCATAGATTAAACTATTTTTTTGTTATTGTACACAAGACTCGCCCTTGAATACAGAACAATGTTTACCCATAGCTATAGTTGACAACACCATTTATAATAATGAGAGTGATGACAATAATGAATCCTTTTAATGACAATAATCATACTAATAATAATCATATTGTAATAACAATATATGTAATATTGAGAAAAGCAATGTCCATTGGCAACAGGTATTTACATATTTGTAAACGTGATGGTGGCAGGGTGTTATTTTTTTGTTAATTACACAGTAATTGCTCAATTGTCTCTGACCCACATGGTTACCTGTGTGTGTACTGTTAAACATTACAGAGTAAATACACGCACACACACTCTCTCTCTCTCTCAAACACACACACAAACACAATTACACCTCAGTGCTAAAGGCACATTGGAGTTTCAGTTAAACATCTAATAGAGTTTGAGCTGCTCTGGAGGCGGATGGAAATAAAACCTCTGAAGGGAGAACCGAAAGATACGTTTTAAGGAAATTTAGTATAGTGTTAAAAACATCATCCTTAAAGTTTTCTTGAAACCAGTGCCGGTTTCTGATACTGTTTATGGTTGCAATTTTTACAGCAATACCTATTCATGGGTTTACATTCTGTAATTCCCTTTTCGAGATAGCAGTTTTCAGTGTCCTCCAGTGCATTGAAATTGCAATTGATTCACAGGAAATGATGCATGCATGTAATCAGCCTTACTCACTTCCTGCTCTCTTAACGCTCCATCAGAGCTATATTAAGTTACTGCTCATGCTATCCCAGCAATTCATACTGTTGCTAGTTAGTTAAAAGCATTCAACTGCGGAAGCATGGGGTGACCGTGACCAGAAAACAGCTATTTTCTTCGGTTTTTGACTGTTTGAAATATTGCAAGGAGAAAAAGCCACAGCTCGAAGCTCTAACTAGGAAAACTACTTCCTTGGCTTCTCCCACTGAGGTTTAACTCAATCTGTGATTTAGCTTTTTTCTCCAGAGCAGCTCTGCTTCTTACAAATGTCTGCATAACTAAAACTCAAATCTGCTGCTACAGCATCCCTCCTGCAGATTTACAGTATACAGCACACACACGTTGGCTACAATTGAGCTCTTGCCTCAACCACCACTCCTTTCACTGTTGCTCTCCAGTCTCAGAAAATGGCTACTAGAGAATCTGGGCTCAAAGGATTTCCCCCTTTCATTCAGAGAATATGGACAACATTCCAGCGGGACTGATGTGGTCCTGTATTTTTCAGGGTCCGTCGGTTGTGTGGTGTTAAGAGAATCCCCTGAGGACAGAGGCCTGGGTCGGGGTTGGAGACACTGCTGCTAGAAACTGAGGTACTCGGAGTTGACTTGTCCGTCTGGCTGTTCACGAGGGGTTTTTGCACTTCTAGAAAGAGGTGAAAGGGTTCGTATAGTAGTCCGTCTGGTGTGGTGGTGAGTGCTCGGATCATGTTTGTACAACTATACACCCAGGTGTGTATTCATACTGTGAGTATACTGGACAGATGGATGGGTGAAATAAGCAACAAAAAGTATGGAAATAATACCACCAAAAGTGTGTTTGCAATGGACCTGTTTCAAGGCAAGGTGGCTGGCTAACACCTCAACGTGTGATCAAAAGTATAGAGAAGAAAGTCGGCGATAATTGAAGTAGTAGTAGTAGTTGCTACGGTGGTTAAATATCCCACAAAGACTCTTTGATTCCTGGTGTCCCTCAAGGCCGACTCGTAATGGAAGGACCTTGCCACCCCTCCGCGAGTGGGTTTGAAGATTGTGAGGGTGGAGTCAAGAGGCCTTCACAGTGGAGTAACAGTATAAAAGCAGGTCTTTGTGCTTTGTTTGATGAGGGCTGAGTCAAACACCACTGAGATGTTGTCAAGTTTGAGGGAAACAGAGGAGAAGGATGAGGGGATAAAAAGGCTGATCTGCAACCCACACTGCTGCAGATGAATTTAACATGATGTCTGATTCTCAGCCCTTTTTTCTTTTCATCACCAGGGCAGCTTTGGAACATGGAGGTTGTTCAATTGATCTGTTGAGATCCAAATCAAAACACTGATTGCTGTTTCGAGGTTGCCAGTATCATTGTCCTCCAAGGATATACTCTTAGTACAAAGAAGTGACTCATTGAAATAACTGCACTGTAAAATCTTGTCAATTTTTCTTCAATCACAAAAAAGGTTAATAAGCTACAAAATTAGCCTTCTTTTTATCAGTCAAAAATGAGATTCTGCTATATATTTTCAAAGGAGGTTGACATAAAACATGCAGTATTAACATCAACAAAATCTGCCAGTCTTATGTGTGTATTGCACGTGAGAGTGAGGGAGACAAAGGATGGCATGTCAGTACAATAAAAACATTTTCTTCAACAATATTCTCTGCAGATTTTATACTTTTCTATTTACATATCTTTCTATACATATATATACTGTAAACTGTGTTCAAAGGAAACCTCCACATATAGCTGGTTAGGCACATGTAGTTGGTTCTAAAGAGGAAATACAGGGAGGGGATACAGCAGTATATGTTGTTAGAACCACAGACAGATATACAGTAGGCCTAAGGAGGATCATACTTGGCATTAACTCTTGCCAGTTATATACCCTGTGAACCTGACCCAGCACTCACAAACTGAAGATAATAATCATTTGAAATTCTTTTTCACATGTACTGAATCTGGATATGCCACACAGCTGTAGTATCACACAATGCTATAATCTATCATAATAATACTGTAGTATTTCACATTTGATATATGCTTTTTGTGTACATATACTGTACTCAATAGTCTCTACTAATCTAGAAATGTAGATTATATTATAAAATATACATCTCCCATTAAAATATCCCATTTGCCAACACATTCCATCCAAATAGAAAAGAAAAAAAAAACAGGTCATGCTAAAAAGATTCTTATATTATGTGTTTCTTGTGTTTAAAATTTGGACTTGTTAGTATTCATTGGGCTTCTTCACACGTCCCTTATGACACTCAGCCCTTCATATTCAAACTACACACACGCATACAAGCCTATACGCACCATCCAAACAAAATACTTCAATTAGAAATATCTGCTCTGACATAAATTCGTAAATGAGACCCCTTAAAAGCTTTTAAAATCATGCTACACTTAGTTCAGTGGAAACATCAGATAGTATGACTTCAAGAAGTAAATAAAGAAGAAGGGAAAGGAACACAAAGGGAAACGAACATACACTATAATCCCATTCATGACAAGTGTTGCTTAATCTCAGCATCATTACCAAACACTATCAAGTTGCTTCTTTTCTATCATTTCACAGCTGATGGTTTCCTCTCTTTAATGGCTCTTTGGAAGGGGTTCAGATGGAGCTACATTGAACATGACTCCTTTTGTTTTCTTTTCGATCAGAGAAATCATTCCCTCTTTCATCAGCGGTGTGTGAAATTGAGAGGTGGATTCTGCAGAAGACAGCTCTTCCCCGTTTTACTTTGTGATCCACCGCTTTATCTTCTCAATTATGCAAACAAATCATGGGAAAGTCCATTCTGAATATTCAAGAGAGGAGAAAACACACGGTGTGTCAAGGGAAAGAACTGAAAAAAATAAAGAAACTGATTTACTTTCATGGCTATTTCATCAGGGCATTTGTTAATTCCTGACCGTGGTGGAAAGAACTCTCTGCAGACCACTGTTGATGGTTCGGGTTCTCACTTGAACACTTGGTGGTGCTATAGCCTCACAGTGAAATGGGGGCCTTCTCAGTAAAGTCCTGAAAAGCCACCAAAATATATTCCCCCCAAAAATTCCCAGCAACCCCACCCCTGAACACTTCAAACTTCAGAGAGACTACATAAAAAGCAAACGGCTCTGTTTTTTTTTGTCTGTGATGCTCTTTAGCTGTCAAGGCTGTGATGCTACACTGCAAAAGCTCCTTTTGGCAAACATGTGTGCACACTATGTACAAATAGCACTTGCACCTTCAAACAGCTTTACTGCTGAATGCTAGTTGGGTAGTCGATGGATACGCGGGACGTGAGGAATGAAAGAAAGAGGCAGAAAATTGTTACATATTCTTTGACTGGGTGCCTGGGTGGACAGATGGCACCTGGGTGAAAGGAGCCAGCTGTAGTTGACTGACTATGCTTGGAGAATGTTCTTTGGGGATCGCCAGCCATCTGACTTTAAGGGCATTTAAACTGATGGTGAGAAATGAATCCATGTTCACTCCTCCATACTGTTGGCATCAATGAATAGTGTGGATATATCTTAGTTGATTTTGTTGAAAATGGTAATCAGGAGATGGCAACAGGGGATCCATCTCCTCCGAGAGATTATGTCATCTCCTCACACAGAGGTTTTGTGCCTGTTAAGCCCTTTATTTTCAGTGATGGAGAAGTGCTAGGTGAACACGCACAGGCATGCTACTACTGCGTGAACCTCCGCTGACTACTGTTATAAAAATGGACTGTTTCTTGTTTGCTGACAGCCAAAAAGAAATCCAGAGAATTCTTAAAAAAAGTCTATAACTCATATCTGCTAGCTACCATTTCAGGTCTAGGCCTCTGTTTCAGTAAAATGTCCAAATTTAAAGACACTAAAATGGCTGTCATTGCTTGTTTAATGAGCAAAAGAAGTGAATTTGCAGTTATGGTAAGTGATGGAAAAACTGAAGGGAGGGTAGAGCCGAAACTGGGCTCAGAGAAAGACTGAGATTTGTGCGGGGGTCGGCTTCGCGGGGATGAGGGTAAAGTGAGGAGGTGGGTGGGAGACACCTCCGTCTTGTGTTCAGAGTCGAGTCTGGGCTTCGGGGATGTAGATCTCGATGCTGTCGGCGCTCTCTGTGGCCGAGTTCTGCCTGAAAGAGGCAGCACGCTTGGTCTGCAGCAGCCTCCTCCTCGCTTCTGTCCTCTGACGGTCCCCGAGGTCCAGGGACTTCTCCCTGATGGGTAGGGTATGTCCACCCAGGCGAGGCACCACCAGGCCCCCCGACCCACCTCCTCCACCTCCGGCGCCCCCATCCCCGCCACTATCAGCACGGAGGCTGCCACTCACCCCGCCTGCTGGCTTCTTTGGTAAGGGAGGAGGAAGCTTCTTATCCTCCTAGCCCGGCAATGGTGAGACGTCGATATAAGATGAAAACGGACAGTGGATTTACCGTGTTGGGTGGTGAAAAAATGTTTTTTTTATGGTTGTACGAAAGGGGTCCCATGCAACAAAGTGAAAAGAATGGGAGAAACAAAGAAAATGACAAAACAAAGAGCAAAACCAAAGACAAAAAGGGTCAAATTCAAGTGAGGAAGAATCATGGCCCGAGACATTATGACAGACAAATAACCAAAATCGACAAAAAAAATAAATTATCTCAGCATGCATTGGCATCGGGTGACGTAAAAGGAAATGAAATGGGGAAAAAAAGGCAAAGATCATGTAAAAAGAAAAAGAAGAAAAGAGAAACAATTGTTAGTTTGTTATCAAGAATAATGTAGTTGGTCAGTGAGTAGCCTAACCTTTATAGACAACAGTGTAACAGACAAGTACTTTCTTCTGTCTGACAAAATGCAAAAATGCTGATACGCATTAAGATTTCTAGCAGTTTAAGACTCCACCGTCTCGTGAGCAGCTCAGCTCAGTTCCTCTTGCTGTTCTGTATTCTCACAGCCTGCAAAGACTGGGAGGGCACGACCATCTGCGCTACTCTTCTGCACACTGCCATCTTAGCTCTGGGGGAGTGCTGTAGGGAAACCAGGGCTGTTTGGACCCCTGGGCCTCTCACCTTCTTTTCAGGTGGGAGCCTCCAATTAGAGTCCTTCAGCCTCTGGAGGTCCTGAAACTTGACCCTGACGTCCTCTATGTTGAGCTGGAGCAGGTCCCAAAAGCCTGCCAGGTCCTGAGAGGTGGGCTGGGGGTATGCTGATGGGTCCTGGGTGGTCAGGGAGACGGGATACGAGACGGGTGACAAATATACAAGGATTTGAGAAAAAGAGAAAGACGTACATAAAGTGTTTTTGCAGCCAAGCTAATTTTGCTTTTAGCGACAAAACGATGCACCATATGTAATGTGAGCTGTCATGATTTTGCATGCAATCACACATACTCACCACACTTTGTTGGCAGAGGCGGAAGAACTGCTGAACTTTCTGAGACATGAGCATCTGGGCACTGCCAACTGCATTTCGAATCAGCTCAAGAACTAGGGAGGAAACAGCACATAAGTAGTTTTAGAAATCCAAGAATTATTCATTGTTTATCTTTATCTCTGATCCTTTCGATCCTTTTGTCCCAAACTCACTCTCCTCTGGCAGTTCGTTCTCCTCAGCCTCTCTCTCCATGTTCTGGCACCAGCCCTCCATCCTCTCCACCTCCGTCTGCAGGAGGCGTAAGAAGAACTCTCCGTCTCTCATGCAGGGAGAGGCTCGACCTGAGTCGGGCAGGCTGCGGGGGCCCTCTAGGGACGGCGTACCGGCCCAGGCTCTCTCAGTAATGGGCAGAGGGGAGTGGGAACGTGGAGGCAGGTGTGGGTGCTGGTGGGGCCGTGGGTCTGCCGGGCAGGGTTCAGTGGTATAGCCACTCTGGATAAAGTCCTGGGAGAACATGAGAAAAAACTGCTGGACACATGGTATTTGGACCATCATTAACACACCTCACCCTCAATCCTCATGTATTAGTCTAGTGGCAATTAATTTCATAAGGCTGGACTCTTTCCAATACCTACATCAACATATCAACACTGATATATAATATGGCCGAATAACACACAGTATTATTCGGCCAGTCACTAAATATTTAATATTGATTATGACTAAATTATTTTAAAAAGTCTGTTGATCCTAAATTCTTTGAAATTTATTCTAGACATTTTTCATCCTACTTTCTGTTTCCCACTTTCCCGATCTCTGATATTTGTTTCTTTTTTTTCTCGTCATCATCTTCTTTTCTTCTCACCTAAACCCATCTAGATTAAGCTTTACTTTGAGAAACACACCGTGTTTTTGGGCCGCGTTTAAAGGAATAGTTTGACATTTTGGGAAATTAGCTTTCTTGCCAAGAACACAAGGAGAGGAAGAGGAGAGAAGATGAGAGAGAAGTGGTATTGATCTCCTCGTCTCTCAGGAAGATCTAAGCGAAATGTCTAACTATTCTTTTAAAGGTACCCGGTGGAGTTTTTGACCAGTAGCAGCACAATGGAGTAATAGTCTTAAGCTCCTCTGTTTGTATCTCGTGCATGTGCATGAGAATGCACATGTGGACACATAAGCATGTGATCGATGCCATACACATTTTTGCCCAAGGTTCATGCTGTTCCACTGATCTGCAGTCTGCCAATGTAACAAAGGAAAAAGACTGCTAGTTAGCAAACATGAACATTAACAATGCAGGTTCTGAAATGCTGGGATCTTCTAATCTTATCCTATCTTTGGAAATTGCACCTTTCACAGGTTTCACTGAACAAGAAAACCATCTTTAATCAAGGACAAGTTTTGTGTATCACTGCAGACCCACCTCTCTGTAGGCCCATTGTCCCTGTGTGTGGACTGTGCGGTGGCACTCTGTGTACTGGCTGGCGGACTCCGGCTCTGATGAGTGCCGTTGGAAGGAGCAGCCGAACTGGAGACTCTTGTCCTGTGTTGGCACAGCAATGCTGAGTGCCGGGAAGCCCTCGGGGTCCAGGTCGGCCTGCACGCTTGCTGTCACGCTATTGGACCGCTTGAAACGAGCTCGCCTGCAACACAGGGAGCCATAGCAGGCCCAGAGCCATCCAGTCACACGGAGTATCACATGCAAAAGCCTTTCGCAAATCATATTTTTCTTCTAATAATTGCATATTTATACCGGAGCAGGGATAGTCATGCTGTCACTGCAGTCACTACTACTCACACGGGTATGATAAGCCCTGCTAGATTCTCTGGCATATGACGCACCAGTGTGTGCAAATGTCATGTCAATGGACTGTCATGGGTGATGAGTGTTTACTCTATTACAAGTTTGTACCCCACCTCCCCTCATCCTTCTTTGCTGTCTGATGAGGTGCGAGGTGTGACTCAGATTTCCGTTCTCGCACTCCTGCTTTCTCCCCCCGACGTCACACTGTCACCCTTGATGATTGCAGGAGGTGGGGGACATTGTTAACAGGTGCATGATTACACACTGCTCAGAGTTCGGGAGTATGTGATGTTGTGACTGCTCGCATGCATGTGATTCTGACCCATAAGGGGTGCTGGATATAATTAGAAGACGGGCTGCATCACGTGTGAAAGTCAAGGCGAGTGTATGATTTGCAGTAGTCATGGTTACAGTTGAAAAACACGACATTCTTGGAACAAAGTGTTACTGAGTTCAAGCTGTGATGTCTGATGAAATGTTAAATGAAATAATGGGATCTAGCCTAGAAATCAACCATAGGTGGCTGCACTGTTGGGCGCCCAGGAGATGAAGGCTTTTTTCAATTATATATTGAAATTATTCACATAAATTACTGTGCAAACACCAAAAGCTCTTGATGAAGCCACATATTTTGGGGCAAAGATAAATTAGCAAATAAACAAACACAAATCTTAGTTTGGAAGTTTGTGTCCATAATTAAAGCAAGTTAAACGTCAGGGAAAATAAACACACTTCAATTTGAAATTATATTTTTAGAGACAATGCTTTTCCCTTGATTTTGAGTTGTATTTCTATTACCTTTTGTCATCTTCTACTTGGACTCCTATAGAGTGGACCTCTGTCAGAGCCTTGCCCTCTGCGTCTGAATCTGACAGAGTCTCCGAGCTGTCCACCTGAAACAGAAGAAGCCAAAAAGCACCACAGTCAGATTTGCTGTGAAACACACCCTTAAGATGTCATACAGAGCTGAAATAAAGGAATTAAAGGATGCTTATCCATTTTGGGGCTCTCTATGTGAGAGTGGGGTAAATCTTCTCACCTAATGCTCTACAAGAAAGCCAATTACTGTATTACCCAAAATGTACAAATGACACGTACCTGGTGTAATTGGGACTGTGTTTTGATTAGTGCTGATTAGTCAGTTGATCTTTAAGTTGATCAACAGAAAAAATATCAAATTTGATTATAATATAAATAATTATCCATTTGCTGCTTTTGTCTATAAATTTAATACTTTTGGACTATGGACTCTTGTGGTCACACCAACCAAACGTGTGACGTGTGACATTTTTCACACATTTTTTGACATTTTGTAGACTGAATGATTAATTTAAAAAAAGGATTGAGGATCCTTTCTCACCTGAACAGCTATGGATGGCCTCCACTTTCTCCCAACACGTCCTTCGTCCTGCCCCCCAGCTTTACTCAGCACTATGCTGTTCTGAGGCAGGGATACTGACTTCCCCAGGCTGCCCCCAACCCTGCTGTCCCTCTCCCTGGCTGGTCTCGGTGGCCCCTCCAGCAGACTGTCAGCTGAGCTGCTGTGTTTGGCCCTCACCCCAACTCCCGGACCCCCTCCGTATGGCACCAGCTCCCGCGAACCCCTTGCTCCATCTAGGCTTTCTGCCGAGTTACTGTGCTGCCGGGAACGTCCAGGGCCTGTGGCAGTGTAGTAACCACCTCTGGAGGAGCGACCCGAGGGGCCGTCAGAGCTACCCAGGTCCACGGAGTTGCTGTGCTGCTTGGGGCGCCCGGGGCCCGAGCTTGAGGCCAACTGTCCGCTGTTCTGGAAGTAGGCATCCTGGGTGGACTCAGTGCTGCTCTGGGCTCGCACCGAGAGTGAAGATTTGGACATGCGAGGTGGGAGTGGGGGAGGAGCACCTTTACGATAAGGAAAGACTGAAGTGTGAGAAGAGTGGGAGAAAGGAAGACAGAGGCATAGTGGGCTGTTAAAAGCAGAATGGGTACTATATCAGCAGGGAGCAGGGGAGGTGGATACTTACAAAAGGGACAGACTAGAAGGAGAAGGTGAAAGGAAAGGCAAAGAGTGAAAAGAGGAAAGTGTGTGAACCAATAATATAGAGATAAAGAGAGAAAACAACAAAATCATTAAAATATAATACCAATGCAAGATGTGACAGAAAGTTTTATAAATGCTACTTTTTTCACCTAAAATAAGCTCTTGGTTTGAATTTCAGTGAGAGGCAGGTGAAAAATACATGAGAGAAGTGACAAGAGAAAACCTCTTCCCTTTAGCTAACTTAAGTCTGCTTCTTTAGAAGATAAAGCAATTTCGTGAGAGAAATATTAAAATGAGAAGCACAGTCTCTTCCTCCTCCCTCACAGCTTTGTTCAAACATAAACGCATACACACACAGTTTATTTTCAGTGAATAAAGGATCAGACTTCAATCTTTCCAAGCATCTTCATCACCAGCCTGCCTGTCATAGTTTACAAAGATCCTAACCATGAAGCTCCATAGGCTCCAGTATGGGAGCATGCATGTATAGGGATGTATGTGTCTTTGAGTTTGTTCAGTGTGTGTGTGTGTGTTTGCAGTTGATGTACATGACACTCCACAGAAGCTTTAATAAGTATCAGGGGAGGATTTGCTGGTTTAAGCTTAGAAATTTGAGTCCTATAAGCCATAAGGCACTAGAGTGGCTCTGCAGTCTACTGTACAAACACATATAAGCACCCCCCCCAGACACACACACACAGACAGACACACAAAATAGACATGTTTCAAATAAAGAAGACACACAGTATGAAGGCAAAAGAGTGGGACTACACCAGTACGAGACATACTATAGATAGACAGACAAGAAGCAGCAGCTGGAGACACTAAGCTATCATCATAATCATGACCGTTCCTGTACCTATTACTGAGCCTGAGAAACCTGCGGTCACACAGGGGAGGGTGATGGGAGAGATGAGAGACAGAGAAGACAGAGAACAAAGAGCATACACAATAATGTAACACAAGTCTATGCTTATAGCATGCACACATACAGTATACACAAGCACAAAGAAAGTGCAGTGGAGGAGCAGAAGGCTAGGGTGAAAAGAGTGAGATCATAGAGATTGAAGAACTAGAGAAGAAAAAAAGGTTCTAAATTAAAAATGGATGCACTTATTGCATGCAGCTGTGCAATAAGTGAGGATGTGGGGTTTGTGGATGTGTGTGTGTGTGTGAGACTTGCTTTTGTCAAGGTAAGCACACACAAGCTGTCATAAAATTCCTTCTCCCACTGGCTTACCTACTGTGTCTCCCACCAGGTTGCCACCACATAATAGACAACCACATATCTTTCTAACTCTCACACAGACTTGTTGGTACACCAAATCACACGCACTCACCGGCCCCACCCTTGATGCTACCCTGGGGACCCGACATGGAGAAGACGGAGAGGCAGTCATCGTCCTGGGAGCAGCCGGCCTGGATGGCGCGGACGTAGCTGTGGCTGCGAGTGCGGAACACACCTGGAAGATCTAGGGCCTCGACGGCTTGAGACTCCACCTCTCCGAACATGGTCTCACACACCGCCTCAAATTGGCGGTTCAACGTGTCTCCCAGCTGAAGGACGAGAGGGAGAGGGAGACAGACACATTGCTGCAGTGAAGACATCTAGGCAAATACACAATTCACACAATTAAACATTATTTGTTACCTGTGAGCTGGTCAGAGAGCGGGTGTAACTACGAGAGCGGGTGTGGGTTTTGGGTGTAGTTCGGCTATTGGGGTAGGAGTCTGTACACTGCTTACATGAGTACCTGAATGAGACAATAACACGCATAATCAGCTTTACCGATAACTGCAACAACTATGATGGCACAGATAGTTTTTTCTTACTTATTTGATAATATATTGTATTCAGTAAAATTTTCAGCTCTGCTATTTTTTTTCAAAAACATGTTTGTAACATTCAGCAACACACAGTACACCATTTGGTTAAACAAAACTATCAAATAAAAGAGTGAGGTTCTATGACAGTGCCAGCTGGAGCCATTTGTATGATGTAATGCTGCATCCCCATGTCCAATGGGAAACGATTTTTAAAATCACTCTGAACATTTGAGTAAATGTGTTTTTCATGTTGGTTATGCGGCGGTGCAGTTAAATCTGAAAAGTCCGAGTCCAATGACAAACAAGTTCCCAAGGAGACATGAATAATACTTTTCCATTTAATTTTCTCATTATGGTAATTTAACCGTGCTGATATTATTTATTAAAAGGTTGGATTTGTTCATGTTTGTACTAGTGTTGGACAATAATGTAATATTATCTCTTACTGTATCCCCATACTGTATCATATAGTGACAAAAACCTCTGCTGAAGATACTGTGGTTTACAGTTGTCATCTCCGAATGATAGGAATATCTTAAAAGGGCACTCCACAGGTGTTACTCATTTTCACTTATCCTGTGATAACAGTTATATAATATCCTCTGTGAGCTTTATAAAGTCTGAGAAAATGACCCTGATGATGTCTTCAGGGTTATTCTACTAGGGGTCGTCTACCTCTCGTTTAAATCCAGGGCCTTAGCACCAAAAACATTCCTACAGAAACATTAAATGGGTGATTTTGTAATCTCACTACAGCTAATTTCTCCTCCTTGCTAGCAATATAACAAAGGCCAGCTGATTTAAAAAAGGGTCATTCAACATTTGACCTTTGATCCATGCTGATAGATCGCCTAAAGGCATCCCTCTGGGCGATCAGGGTGGACTTCGGTGAGGCTTTGGGGCTGGTGTCTGAGTCAGCACTGTCATCGTCACCCATGGCCTTGATGTAGCTGCCGCTCCGCATGCGACGGCATGGGATCTCCCCTCCGCTATCGGCTGCACCGCCGCCATATCCACCTCCCCAGTCTTCTGACGGGACCTGAGACACAATCACATTTGCATAAATATTCGTCATTGGTAAATATACAAATGACTGAGTAGGATTCATCTGCAACTGCAACACATAGTGAGTACAAGTGCAGAACCATGTAGAGTATACACATGGTCTAACTCGGTTTTAGTAAGATTTTCTAGAAATGGGTTAAAAGTAAGTATGCATTCTTCTGCTACACCAACTGTTAAGGGAAAAGCAATTGATCACAATGTGAATAAATTAGTGTTGAGATATTGAAGATGTTTTCACTGCACTCTTGGCAGCTTCTTCCCAATATCTGTTATAAAAGTCAAAAGACTTCTCAAAACAGAAATATATTTCACCAGTGAAAAATATTTCACACCTCGAACAGATGGACAGCGATGAATCAGACACACAGTCGTGGCACACATTCACCCAGTGTAAAGCCAACACACCCGCACAAATCGCTCAAGCATGCACACGATGAGAGCACACACACGCACATGTATGCATACGTGGGAAGTGACGTTAGCAAAAGAGAGAAAGGGACAAAAGGACTTACAGAAAGAGAGAAACTCTGACAGCTGGAAAAACACTGACACGGAGAAGGAAAAACAGCGTAAGCTAGAAGCCGACAGACAGAGAGCAAATAAACCAATACACAAAAAGGCAGGTAGACAAGCATGGTGGACAGACAGGCGAAATGTAGGCAGACAGACAGGTAAGGTGGCAGACAGAGAGACAGACGGATGTACCGAGGACACAACAAAGAACAGTGAAGGGCAGAAAGCAGAAAAGACAGATGCGCAGACGAATGAGAGTGATGAGAAAACAAAATGAGAAACTCCCACACAGTCAGGAAGACAAGAAACTAAGGAGGAAGACGACACATTAAGAACTGATAAGGAGCTGTGGAATGAAACACAAAAATTACATTGACAGGTTCCCACTGTGGCCGTCATGTAAAATCAATGCCTTTTCATAACTCAGTCAGAATGCCTTCATAACACTTTAAAATGTTTCCCCTCTCTGCGCTGTTTTAGCTGTTGTGAATAATAATGTCTGGCATATTCACATATGGTAACTTATTTGTAATGTTTTGTAATATCCCATGATTCACTTTCAGATTTGATTAAATACCCTGATTTTCACTGTCTGATATACACCTCTTAAATTCCACAATATTCCCCCAAATATTACATGATTTCTGGGGACCTGACTTTTGAAAAAAAGAGCCAGGCAGCTATGAAGTGGGCAATACAACACATCACACTTTCTGTCTTTAAAGCTGCATTTTTTTGGCCATTTGGGGGTAGCAGGACAACTGCAAACACATCTGATATATTAAAGAGCAAAAGTTACCACATTTTGGAGTTGTGTTTTTGGTTTAGCCAGCTAGTTGCTAGCTGTGGAAATGTGACCAGGGTTTGTAGGCCAGTAAACCAAAACAATGAGGTTAAAGAGCATAAAAACTGACAGGAACTGTGGGTTTGTCACTATTTCTTTTTGTAAATTTGACATTATACATAGTCATCTGATCCATTGTTGATAAAAAATATTATCAAGTGCAGCTTTAATTAACATCAGAGCAGATGAGGATACCTATCAACCTTGTACACGGAACTCAGCTGGATATGTAAATATGTGTTTATGTGTCCTTCCCATTTGATTCCACTTCTTTTCCAGTATTATGAAATCTTTGCACCATCTAACAGCAGCTGCTTGTGGTGAAAGACCCCTCGATCTTTCAGTTTTTTGCAAATGCTGTGAGGTGTGTAGCCTCACACAAGCATGTGACCCAATGAAACACCTACACACATTCACACACAGACACACACACACAGTCAAGGCCCCGGGGTTTGGCATCCAGTTGAGTGTGTGTTTTTAAGGTCATCACTTAAAAGATGATTCAGCCTAATCTCCCAATCCCCCTGGCCTTCTACTATCTCTCTCATTTTCTCATCCTGCTCTTTCTCTCCTCCTCTCGCTTTGCCCCTTGGCTACCATCACCTCCTTTATCTCTCCTCTATCCCTGAGCTTGCGTTGCCATCTCTGCATCCCTCTACCTTGCTCTTTTCCCCCTCGATCTTTGTCTCTCTCTCCCTCGCTGTTTCTGACTTCATTTCACTCTCGCTCCATATTCTCGTTTTTATCATTCCTTATCTATCAGACACAGGCCGAGGGGAAAGGAGAGGCCTGGGGAATGGAGAGCGCCGCGTTCTGATGCCGCACATTGTGATTGGCGTTGACACCATGGGAGAAAACCTTGCACATGTCCCTTTGCCTCTGACCACAATAATTCAGACTTGTGAAGATTCACTCTTTTTTTTGTTCCTGTAATTTTCACGTGGAGCACTTCTTGCTTCTCTGCAAAAAAACTTGAGTGATGACCAGTGTGGACATGTCAGTATAAGCTTCTATATACATGTTAATTCTACTGCCAGTTGGTAGCTTGGGAGTGCGACTTGTCTCTTTCTGACTAAAAGTTGTGGCATTTTTGAATGGATTGGTGTGCTGTATTTGCGAGGCAGTCTTTATGTTTCTGTTCAGAAGGACCACAATGTCTTCTCTGTGCCACAAAAATGATTTTGTGACTTTTAGACTATTATATATATAACTTTATGATCACAAAAAACTTGGTGATACTGCTGTATATGAGGAGATTTCCCTTCTGATCTCTTATGTCCTTATTCTTTTGGGTTTTTTACATGGCAAGTTGCGGGCCATAATAACAATGAGCTAAAAGAGGCTATAAAGCTCTGTTGAGTTGAGAAGAAATGCAGACCTGGGTTATAATTCCCCATGAGTAATCCACGAGTCAGGTTTGTAACAAATCCCATTAATATACAAGTAGATAGACATGTTAATATAAAAATATTTATGGCCGCAGTTCAATATATGATATCTAGCCTCAACACACTCTGTCCGCACTCAGTTTTGCTTCCAGAGAACAAGGCAGAGGTTTGGAAGTGCTGCTTTAATATGGCACCTGCGCTGCCGTTTGTCCTGAGGTCTACTGATGGAGTGAACAGCTCTATATCTGCAGCTCCAGGAAGCTGTCTGCTCTGAAGCCATGGATCAATCTGGCTGACTTCAGCACATCTAAGCTCAGCACAAAATTCACTCTACACGCTGTCTCTCCCCCCTTCTCACAAAACTGCAAGTGACGCCTGGAGATATGAGAAAAGCTGCAGCGGGGAAGTTCATTTCGTGTCCTAAGGTGTGAATGTGACGGTAGGCTAAGGCACAGAGGCAAATTGTGTGGGGTTTGTCCTTTGAAAACACTAACACACACAACCCTGCTCTCTCAGTCTCTTCTATCAGCAGACCTCAGCTGTGTCTAAAGGATGAGAGTTGGAAAAACACCAGGGACTCCTGTGGCTACCTGCTGTTTCCGTAGAAACACAGCCCGCATGGCGGCTCTACCTCAGCACAGCTGGAGGTTTGTGTGTGTTTGTGTGTTTATGTGTGTATGCTCTTTCAGCTGACTTTGTAGGTACAGTGTCACAGCCATTAGCTTTTCATTTCAGGGAATTCATGTAAACGTACAAGATGAAAGAAGGCAGAAAGGGGAAATTGCGTGTGTCTGGTACGGAAAGAGGGGGAGAGAGAGAGAGAGGGGCGAATGGAACTGGGGAATGCTTGGGTGACAGCAATTGTTTTCAGAGTCACAGCAAAATACCAAGACAGTCCATGGGGTTTCTCAGGTGGACGTTTAACCCTTTAAACCCTGGGCTGTTAAGTTTTCGTGTGTCACGTCGTGTTTTTTGACACTTGTAAAAAAAAGGGTTTTAACACACAGAAAATGTATAGAATAAACAGAGAAAAGAGTGTCAGTGCCCCAGGGATATATGATTGACGGCACACACTATGCCATGGCAAAAAACTGTATTGATATCGATTGCTGTATTGTATCACTATTGTATGCACTATGGTTTCCATCATGCACAATTTAATTTCATACACAATCCTCATTTATAGCCTATATGTCTTTACATTTAGGCAAATCTGCACCAGTAAGTTGTGCTGCATAAGCTGCTAGCGTGTTGTGTTAGCGCCGTAATCATGGCTGGACAGATAACAATCAAATAGATTCATTCTGAAACAGAAGAAAAAGTCAAAATTAGACAACTACCAGGGATGAGCTGAAGTTATAAGGAGCACTGTACTGGAAAGAGTAACACTCAGGTTTGACTGAGTTAGTTAAGTTAGAGAAGAAGTCATGAAATGTTTGATGCAAAACTGGAGGTAAGGGTCTGCATGAGACTCTTACCCAGGGCCTTTTTCTTTGTGAGAACTCTTCATATGTTGGAACCTTGCAATATTGCAGGTCATATCCCATATACTATATTCCATCTGTACACAAACACACACATAGACATTAGTTGACATGGAGGCATGTACACACCTGCAGGTAGTGGAAGGTCCTCTCCTTCAGCTTACTCTCCACGGGAACAAGGGCTTTGTCGTAGCCCCCTCCCCTGGTGGAAGGGTACACCTCCCTGGCCTGACTAACTGTCATGGCTGACCAGGTGCTCCTTTTCAGGGAGTGGCCGTGGTGCCCGTGGTGTCCCCCTCCTTCATTCCCAGTCAGAGCCATGGTGGTACAGGCCATGCACTCCCCAGGCGCCGGCCCACCACCACGCTCCTTGGGCCTCTTCATGGTGAGCTCCTGAATGGCTGCGTCCAGGCTCTCGTGTCCACTGGGATACCCCCGTCTGCCCCCGCTGACCATGAAGCTGCTGTCGCTGTCCAGGTTGTCGTCAGAGCTCCACCAGCCTGCTGTCCTGCTGCGGTGGCGTCTGCCCGACTCATGTCTTGAGTCTCCACTCTTGCTACGCTCTCGAGACTTGCTCCTCCTGGTAGAGCGAGGCTGGTGGCCTGAGTAGTGGCCTCCTCCATCCTCCCCTCCACTCCTGTGGCCTCCTCCTCTCTCGCTACGGTAGTCCCCGCCTCTCGTGCCGTTGTACTCCCGTTTGGAAGGTGCCTCGAGGGAATGGGACTTGGCAAAGAGGCGCTGCACAGAGTTGACCAGATGGCGGATACGTGAGGGGCTCTCGCTGCGCTGTTCAGCACCCCCACTTGTGGTGCGCTGGTACTGCAGTGTGTGGAAGCCATCAGGATGAAAGGGCACCTGCTTTTCAAACTGGTCTATCAGGTTCGGGGGAATGCGATGCATCTTCCCTCCGTGGCCAGAGGACAGGCACTCCTCGCAAGAGTCAAACGACTGGAGAGGTGGGTGCTGGCTGGGGTGAGAGCGGGGGAAGGTTCCCCCTCCAGAGTGGCTATGGGAGTGGGAGTGGGAGTGGGAATGGTGTCTCTCCAGTGCCAGGGCATCAGCTGGACCTCCTGGAGGGTAATAGTGGCCATCGCTGTGACCCTGGTAGTACTCTCTGCCCGGGCCGTCACAGTCCTCAGGCGCACAGTGGCAGGGGCCTCCTCCGCCACCACCGGAGGAATGCTGGGACATGCTACGGCTGACATGGTACCCTTTCATAGGCGCCGGGGCATGGTGGGCCGTCCGGGCCGAAAGGGGGCGCTGTGGGCGTGACAGGGCTGCACCGGTCTCACCTGGAGGCAGAAAGAGTAACCATTTAGGTCTTGTATCTCGTGAGACAGCAGTCAACACATTGTATTTATGAATAACAATATTGATATTATCAAATAATTGAATCTGGTGTTCAGTCTTGCAATCATAAATATTTTTCTGTCTCATTACACAGAATAACCGTGAGATGATGAGTACTGTGTCACTGCCAATCACTCTCCTGTTACCTCAATAGCTGCTGAACGTACTAAGCTCTATGACACGCAAAAACAGTGATAAAAATATGATTTAAAGTGAATACAGTATAAATAACTTCATCATTTTATTGCTCTGTGAGAGACACAAAGGTGGGAGGTACAGTGGTATAATTTACAAATGAATCACCACAAAAAGAAATAGACTTTGCAGATTAATGTCCAGGTTGTTTTCTATCTTCTATCTAGTGGCCTGCTAAATTGAAAGTGAAAAACAAAGTTTTTTTCTTATGCTGATTAACATTTTTATTGATTTTGCACTTCATTTTTTACACAACCAAAGACAAACAGTGCAATAGTGAGCATTCATACCGCGGGACGCAATAAGCGGCCACAGTCAGCTTTCTTCTTCGCATTCATCTCTGCCTGGCTGATAAATCAAGAATATTAGCCTTTCTTTCTCTCTCAAGGTGTCTCTTCAGTTTCCGCCTCGCTCTCCCATTTAGCACATCTCACTCCTCTCTCCTGTTTATCGTTATATTCATCAGACCGGCACTGCCTGTTGTTGTCTGTCTCTTTCTCCTCCATCCATGCCCGCAGGGAGTCCCTGAGCATTCACATGATTTACAGCTGAGGAAAACGGTGCGTTTATTGATCACCTGCATCCTAATGCAGGGGAGATAGAGAGTGGCGGCAGGCGTCCAAGCACACTCACAAACGTCTGTGCTATCAATTACACAGCGAATTCACGGTTTGAGCACCAGCTGAACAACAACGTGATTCACAATATCCAGGTGACCAGGCAGAAACCAACCCTGCCGTCGACTCCAAAGGATAAAAGTGCAGAAGAGGATGGGATCTTCTCCACAAAACAAATGCAGGAAATGAAATCAATACACTTTGCCAAGCTGCAGCAAGAACGTGGAACAATGTAAACGTTATCACCCACACACTCTGGTTGCTGTAAGTAAAGGTAAACAGAATGGAAACAGGATAAAGCCAATCTTTGTATTGCCTTTCTATTCAGCACCGGGATAACAACCGAGATTACGTTCCAAATGTGGTAATCATGTATTTTATTGGACTGGCATTAATTGCTGCTGCTGTAATCACATCCTCTATTAACCACGTTCTCCACTAACTATATAATGAATCACGGGCATACAGCCTGTTTATAATGCACACAAGCACTTCCCGTCATTTCTAGATTTGATTAAATTGAGATGAAATCACTCGATGGAAGCCGGAATCGAGCTGCTCGGCTGGATGGGATTCACTGAGCTCCTGTGAGTGTATTTGCGCGTGTGTTTGCCGGCTTTCACACAGAGATGAGAGATAGGGGACAGATGCTGGGATAATCATTAAATAGAGCGTGGCCTGTTTGCCTTGATTGGCTGAATGAGAGCTGCCACCCAGGAAGCTAACCCACATCCAGCCGTGTCATTGGTGTAGCCGTGACGACGGGCCTCTCCAAGTCAACATCCCACCGTGGACAGATATCAGACAGCCATGGCACCTGGGTGGACGGAGCCGCCTCTCGTTCGTTAGCTATACAGGGGCCGTGGCGCACTTTAGTTACAAGTGCACCACAGTTGACAGCGTGTCTCCTAGCAACACTGGCTCTCAAGTGTCAGTCAAGTGTCAAGGGAAAACCAGCCAGAGGCCTAAAGTTTGGAAACAGTTTCCAGAAATATGCCCAAGAAGCAGTTTAATCTTTTTTTTGAAAAATAGAGCACAATAGCTGTGGTATCATTACAGTATTTACACAAAATGTGAGCAGAATTCAAATTTTAGTTTTAAAATTCTTATAAAAAATCAATATCTATCAAATAATTTGGCAAGATGAAAATTTTTTACAGTGTGTTGTACTTCCGTGTGTGTGTCCCTGTTTATGAATAGACAGCAAAGTGAGCAGCGCCGCTTTGCCTGGAGGAGTAAATTAAACCATGTTCTGTTTATTATGAAGTCTTTGGCTTTGGAACGGGCTGCTGGCGAGGAGCTGTCAATCACAGTGACACGCACATGCCCGAATGTGTGGTTGTGTGCGCACACATTAAAAAGACACCCGTGTGCAGACAGACAACTGAAAACATAGAGAGGTAGAGAAGACGCAGCCGAACTGTCTCTTTCCTTTATTTCCTTCTCTCTATCCATCTCTCCACACGTCTCCCTCGTCTCTCCTCCTGACCTACTTCTATCCATCCTCCAGTCATGACTCTCCCTCCTGTACGCTCTCCTCCTTTCTTCGTTTTTTCTTCTTTTTTTTTTAACCTGTCAGTCCGTCTGGCTCTGCCTGTCAACATTTCTCTGTGCTGAGTTAATTACAAAGTTCGTTTCCATTCTTTGTCTCTTGGCCTCTACTGATCTATCTGTCATCCAACAGTGTTCTCTTTTATTCATTTCGTGTTAGATAATTGAGGTATTACAGTTCATGTGCATGCATTTCATACAGCAAATAATTAAATTTCGTTCACTCTAAGTTTTCAAAGATCTCCTCAAATTAAAATCTGAACGTACCCCCACAGTATGATTTGACGCTTCCTACATCCCACCCTTTCGTAGTCCACATCTTTTTGTTTTCTCTCTACATTTCCATTCCTCTTTGGACAACTTCGCCCCTCCTCTCTGTGTAGGCAGAAACATTCAGTAGCTGCTCAGTAGGGAGTTGGAGCTGTACAACATGCTGTCATTGTTTAACACTGCTTGGCATCAACGTGATAGTTATAGAGGCTTCAGTCTGGAGCTGTTTCATTTTAAATATTCATGCGATCATGCCAGCTGCTCTGACCCACTTTGCTAACAGCTGAGTCTGCCCGCTCTCTGCCATCTCTGAGTTGTGGGTCAAAGGGTGTTTCACTGTAAATTCAACAGCTGAAATACCAGAAATGATGTATTCTGATCTATTATTTTCTTGCTTAAAGGGAATGATCTTGACTGTCTGGTGGAAGAATAGCTCACATCTTAAGATGACATCAACATTATCCTCTCCTATGTTATATGTCCAAGCAATTAATTTAAAGGTCCAGTGTGTGGGATTTCGTGTCAACTAGCAGTGTAATTGCAGATTGCAGATCAACTTCCCCTTCCAAGTGCGAAGGAGATGGTGGTGATAAAACTCAAGAAAAACGTGAACGCCCCTATCTAGAGCCTAACCCTAACCCGAACTGAATTGACAGGATTGTATCAGCAGAGTAACGGTGTGACTGATCATGTTATAATGGTTATAATGGTTATGCTATACATCTTAATATACAAGTATGAATATGTTTGGATGTGACTAGTCAGCTGATTGCTGCATAGCTGGGAACAAGCCAGTGATTGTGAAGCTTGAGTGAACCCTCTGATGGTAAAAGGCATTACTTCTAGAGAGTGAACATCTGACGTACAACTTTTCATGAACTAATAGATGAACGGTAAATATGAAGCTAGAGCCAGTAGCTGTAAGCTTAGCTTAGCTTAAAGGCCAAAAACATTGGCAAAGTCTACCTATAAGCAACTTTGGTAACTTCTTTGAGTCTTGTCATCACCCTCAGGTTGACAGGTAACCAACAGAGAAAAAATCCTGGCATATAAACCCCTGTAAAACTACAACATACTATTATAACACTTCGGTTTTTGTTTGGATTCTAAGTGCTAAGCTAACTGGCTGCTGGTGGTAGCTTAACATTTGGAATCCAGGCATGAGACTGACCTTGATCTTCTCATCTAATTCTCAGCAAGTAAGCAAATAAGTTCATCAATATATATAAAATGCCATGATTTGTTACTTTAAATAGAGTTTTATTTCCCCCTAGAATGAGAGACAATAGCGAACAATCATTTGGACAAGGCAGCCACTGTCTTGGCTTTTATTGAAATGGGCTAACGCTGCAAGGCAGTGGGTATTGTCTGCTGGAATATGGGCTTTGTTTGACTGCAGATACAATGAACGAAGCTACAGTGTGGTCAGGGGCAGATATGTCAACTCATTTGAGAATACGAGAAGGTGAACTGCACAGAGCCCTTATAGAATTGTAGTCAAACAATGACAAAGTTTTCATTAGTCTGTCTGTCCATATGTGCCAGTACAGTAGACTTCAAATAAGCTATTAACCACTGGAGCTCTGCACAACCATTATGGAGAGTGGGACAGACAATATTAAAATGTATAATGATGGGAACGGAAACAATAGAGGATTGGCTCAGCTGTGTGTTGGCGTGGACTTCCTTCTTTGCCAGCCAGAGAGACATGCATGCTGGGAAACTGGCAGAAAGACTGATTTTCTCTTCTCAGCTTTTAGCCATGAATGATCTATTTTCATTTTTCCACTGCCTTTTCTCATATGCACACACACACGCCACACACGTTTCCCTGGCAGCTGGGTGACTGCCGTAGCTAACCCATCAGGGTCCAGAAAGAATCAAGGATGATGGGAAAGATGGAACATTTCAAGGGTGACCCACAGAATAGTACCTGTAAAGTACGAATGCAGCACATCTGCTCTGTGCATACTGAGAGAGAGGCGGATATAGAATAAATTAAATATGTGATCTAAAGAAAACAAGAAAAGATAAAGGCTTAGTATTTTTAAAAATGTAAGGCATCTGCTGGCCTGCTACATGCTTTCATATCTATTTTGAATAAAGCTGTTGTAGCTGCAGACCTTTAGATGGTAATTGGCAGGAGTTAATATACAAAAATGGAGGTGCAGATGGGTGCTAACATGCCACATGTCTGAATATAAGAAT